AAATTACAATTAACTTGGCTGTTTTTAGAACATATTGAACAGGGAATCCATTAAAACTGACTAGATAGTGAGGATAAACGCCATTTAATTCAAGGTCATCAAAGTTCCATTCTTCTAAAATTTTGTGGCCATATTTATGGGCAACACTATTAGATAATGGATAACCATGATAATCAGCGTCTAACAAAACTGCACCACGTTCTTGGTTATTGTCTAATGCGTGATATATATATTTCCTGGCAAAACATGGGAATCTCGATAATTAGATTCGTCAAAAACTTCTGTTGCAGAATGATGAGGACCATTTGGAACAGCTGGATTCAGTATACTGCCCCACTTGTTTTCTGTTTCTTTGTGGGCGGGTACTGCAATAAATTTATGAGCATTTAATGAGAAATCGTCCTCCTGTGAGCTGGACAATCCAGTGTTTGTACATAACGTTTCGAACGCAATGAGATTTGAAACCATGACAGGGCATGTCTGTGAAATGGACAATTCTGGATCTCTGGGCGCAGCACGAATGACCGCTTCGCTCACATTACTGCTCGTTCAGGATTCATAGAGGCTTTTATATACACGTTCATATGTTCTACAGTCGTTGTCCAGCTCAGTATGCAAATGAGGAATTAATTCATCATCTTCTGTCACATTTCCGAAACATGGGAGATTTAGCAGTCGTGTGCGTAAATTGTCCGAAATATTCAACTGGTTATTTTTGAAACGCTTCTTCCGTCGGTCAAGTAGCAACTGTAATTGGTCGGGAGAGGTGACCATTTTTTGAGTCAGCACAGTAATGAGAAATAGCGTATGATTAATTAACAACCAATGTCTCCCAAGGACACTGATGATAAATCTGGATGCTGATTGGCCAAATTAATTAGGCTGAATCTCGTCTAATTACAGGGTTCAAAGTTTTCTCTACCCCGTCGCCAATTGTTGTGTTTTGTGGACTGCAGATTAGAGCGAAGCAAATTATCGATCGGATCAATGATACGTAAAACACGTAAGAACGGCCTACAGTTCTGATCGTTCACGCTTCCCTGTCTAGCCCAGCTAGTTGAGTCCAGAACGAAAGTCTCAGCCTCTGGGATATGAAGCATTATATTTAAGACAGCTGCCGATAAATACTTTCAAGTGTATTGTGATGCAAATCAGTCATCAAGGTACAGATAGATACATGGTGAATAACACTGATCTACCTGTTGTCCAGACACACAATGACCTAGGAGTCTTCGGTAGCCAAGGCCCAAGGAATACTGCACACTGCCGCGCAATGGCCGCAAAAGGTTTTAGAACGTTATGGTCAATACGTAGGGCTTTTCGTCATGTCGACGTTAAAGTGTTTCTGACTTTGTATACAGTGTTCGTACGTCTTAAACTTGAGTATTGCATCCAAGTGGCCAGCTCTTGCTTAAAAAAGGTCAGTGAGCTTTTGAAAAAGGTCCAGTGAACATCAATAAAGCTAATTTCCGGAATAGCGAAGCTCCCGTATGATGCTTGACTGGGCAAGCTTAACCTATTCCCGTTGTCTTATCATAGAACTAAAGGCGAATTGATTACAGTTTTCAAGTTGCTTAGTGATAAGTTTGCACTTGATAGGCTATCATTTTTGTTGTTTTCCAAAACAGAGAATTTACGAGGACATTCCAGAAAGCTTCACAAACCCAGAACAATTTGTTTGTCAGCTTTCCACTGACTTTCCCATCAAGTCTTCAACGAGTGGAATTCATTTCCTCAACACGCGGTTCAGCCTTACTTTATCAACTCTTTCAAAAAATGTTTGATCAAAGAAAGACTATAATTGCCTGGACTAATACAGGCCATCAATCCTACTGACCTTTCAAAACTGAAATTGATTAGGTTGACGTGACAACGTTAATTTCAAAACTACCAGTCAAATATGAGAATGGATTCTGATTATGTATATCCTATCCACGCAAATGGTTATCGACTTAATCCGAGTTAATAAATAACGGAATTAAATAAGCCAAATACAAGAATGAGTTTTTGAATACGTATATTTTATGCAATCATTGATTTGAACAGACAATCTAGGAGGTGAGACATAATTATGTTTCCCTTTAAAGGGAAGAACGAAGCAGATTAAAGAAGGCATAAAATCCAACTGGATTCAATCAATACTTATAGTCAAATAGAAAATAAACAACAGACATGTAGTAGGTAGGATGAGATGTGAGTGCACACGCTCATGTAAAAACAACCAGAATAAACAGGGCAGTAGCTGACAAGGTCAAAATGTGGTTCATGAATAATGAATAGATTGGCTTGTCGAGAAGCTAGAATAAACTATGTTTAGGTTGAACATGACACGACGTAACACTATCGACCACAATAGTATGACATACTGATTATCGCTCACAAATACACTGTTGCTTACACACACACTTTTGTTCTCAATTACCCGGTGCTATGATAAAAGAGCTCTAATATGATTGCTACCTACGTCTGCATATTACGGTGTTATTCTCATTATATGCTTTGTCTGAAAATACATTTCTAACTACAACATAATTGTGGTTGGAATTATCAACTACTATGAACTTTTAGACCGCAATAAAGTCAAACACTTAGATTCCTGACCATTTAAGTAACGTCCTGTATATTTGTCTTGTGTGTATATGTTATGTTTAATATATTCATACATTAATTATTGGATGTAAGGGCTGAGACATTATTTAGGAAATTGATGTATTCTTGGTACAACATAGGACCATTTTAATAATCAATATAAAAGGCTTTATGTACTTTGTGAGATTTTCTAGATTAGCAATTCACGTACCTTTATGGTTATACGCAGGACATTAAGGAATGACGATAAATATGTTGATGAGGTTGTGAATCTTCATCGACTGAGATGATTGGACCACGTGTTACGTATGCCTGAACACCATCTACCATGACGCGCATTGCTGACTAGTGTCGGAAATGGTTGGAAGAAAGTTAGGTAAGGCCAAACCAAAACGTGGCATCAGTGCTTCAGGTCACTAACTTGTAGTCTAAGCCATGTTTGTAGATGCAAACTACTTGGTTGTGGTCCGCGTGACTATCGTAACCAATGGTTGGAGACTCTGAGTGACATGGCGTAGAATCGATCACTGTGACTTAGGTGTATACACTCACTGTCTACCCTTAAACCGTGAGGTTAAAAAAGTTTAAAACCTTTGTTTCTACGAACTAACTCCTACTTCTTGTACTATACCCTTATAAACAGTCGTTCTTTTATTCATTACTACCATTGCAGTGACTGTTATAAGTTGTGGTCTGTGTGTCCTGTTGATGGATAACGTGGTGATACCGCCAATTAGAGAACAGTGATTTATCAACCGGACCAATGACGCATGAAACCAGTACGAGCATCCTAGAGTCCTTATCGGTGCTGCTTCCAGCCTAGCCTAATCAGTTAAGTCTAGAACACCAATCCGAGCCTCCGCAATATGAATCGTGTATTTTAAACATACTGAGTTTATATACCAACTAGACAGACCACAAGGTACCATAAAATAAAAAACAACAATCGTCTCAGATTAACTAACACCATGGATTTGGTGTTCATTTTGTGCTAATGAGGTGTGACAATTTGGACCGATGCATATATATGCCTAGTTCTAGGTTGTAGCTGACTGACTGTCTGGTACGTTTGTGGCTACTTGTGGAAACATATCGAGGGTTAATTATGCATATTAGAGTAATTTACTGTAATAAGGATGAAACGCATAGCTCTTTACCAAGTCATTAACATTTACTACAAATCCGATATTGGCTACAGTTGGCCAGTCATGGTGGTATTTGTACGAACAAATGATTCCTTTTGTACTTGATTGCCAGCCGATTATAGAATTTAAACACATAAGGTTCATTTATTTTCAAATACTTCTACCTGCTTCAAATAACTATTTCGTAAGTTCTTAACTGATACGTCAATTTGAATACTTCTGATTATAATAGTTAGTCAGTCAAACATACACCGCATCGGACATGATAGGTATTTGAGTAAATCAGTTCATGTCGTACATTGGTAGCACAGCAGAATAACATCATTGAGATAAAACCCTGAGTGGTAGAATTCGGTAAAGAGTCAATCAAAATTGCTGAGTCTGTGCCGGAATTCTGTTCAATACTAGGTCATTTGCTACTGTTTAAATGGAAGTTCGGACTTTTACAAGGGTTAATTGAATACAGAACAAAATCTCACTGAAAATGGTTTAACCATCACCTAGAATTTATGCATTATTCAGTTGTAGAAAAACTTTTTGTTTGTTATTCGACCACTGTTTCGTGACAATTTGATAAAATTAAAAAAATTCGAATTCATATAAACTATTGCAATGACGTGTGGGCATCTAATAGTTAACGATTAGCTCATGGACTCATATTACCAAATTTAAGACAACGTGATATTTGGTCGACATTTCGATTCGCGAATATTGTAGGCGTGTGATCAGTGATCGTGTTTACTAGGTTTAGACATTATGTCAATTATCATGCGTATTGAAGCTAACTGTCTTGCTGCTTTTCTGACAAAGTTAAGTGAAGAGGTCACTGACTAAAGACTAGACGCTAACTATCAAAATAGACGAAACCTACGATTTGGACACAGATTACGTACTTAACACAGTCGGCAATGATTTTCAAGAAGAAAACGCTAACAACACAGCTTCTTACAAACACAGCAAGAAGACAGAAATAACTTATATTCATTACAAATCTATTACAAACTATTTTATCAACAAACGACTTTAGTGCAGTAAGCCGAACACATTTAACTCACAATACAAACTCAGTTACGCATATCTAAGTGTTCGGGTTCATTCTAACCACTTATCAACTATTTGGATCTTTCAAATTTGTTAATAATTAAATTTAGGTGACTAAATTAAGAATATCTAGACCTAATGCAATGATATATCTTTCATAATGATTTATCAATTCAAACATTTTATTGTTTAAGGTGAGTTCGTTTACATTTTCATTTTATTTCACCTCATACTTATCTACGACGATAAGATAACTTTTGTGATGTTATATGAAGTACTCTTCTTGGTTTCATTTCATAATATAAGTACGTGAATGCGCCTAATTTTACTACGTATTTTGTCCAAGTTAACGCTATTTATAATGTTTCGGACCATTAATTACGCTATTGGCTTTATATATTAATCCAATCGCCCACTAACATTTATTCTCATGGTTACTACTGTCTCTTATTCGATAATGTTGATGTTTTCATGAGCCTCTACAAATCTAAGTAACAACTTGCTAAGTCACTTAGCAGTCTAGCATCGCAAGCACGAACATGAAACATTAGTCGATGCAGTCTACTAAAAATTCTATACGTTTAAATTAGCTTAGTAACAACTTGCTCAATGCTGACGATGGTTTGTAATGATATTATAGATGCGGGTTAGTAGCCAGGCTCCCACTAATTATAAATCATATTCTCAATGGTATACCTAATTTAGCAATAAATTTATGCAAGAATATATTATTAGTAATACGCAAAACATTTGAATCTGTTATTTTTTGACACAAGTAGCAAAAAACTTCTTATCTGAAATCACTAGGACGTATTTGAATCTATATGGATCTGTTTGAGTGATTGCAATTAAAGTCGTTTTAGTGAGAAATCAAACCTAAAAACGAAGGCAAATAACGAGTAGATGTTCTATTTTAGAAGGTATATCCTAAGGTGACTAATTTATTAAAGGTTGAATAGACATAACTGTTGTATTGAGGTCATTACATGCGATATAGATGCCTCCATTATTCAGTTATCAATTAGTTCTTAAAGACAAGGCATATCGATTATGTTTCAATTACAATTTAAATGCAGGTAGATGAATATGAAACTCCGCCTGTAGCTCTTCTAGCGCTACCACCGGTCCCAAGCACGGGTAAATTAGGAGGGTCGGCAAACCCAAGCGATTCGCAAATCTGATACGACTGATGATTGGTGGTGTAGAAGTAGGTTAGAAGAAAACCAAGGTGGTCAAACTAAAACACGTAGCCAGTGCATGCAGTGGCTGATCATTGAACTGATCCATGTTAACAGGTGTAGATTACCTAGTTGAAGTTCGGACAACCAATTATATTTATTAAGGGTTAAAGACTTTAGATGACATGGATCAAAATCCTTTGCTATGGCACATGTGCATTCACCTTTTTCTCCTCAAAGGTCCTAACTTTGTAAATTCCTCCAAAAAACGTGTTTCACTAGTTTGTATTTTTCCAATCATATTTTTGATGCTCAGTCTTTTCCATTAATAGGAGTACTGTTACTGCCTCTATTATTCTGGGATTTGCTCTGACGATTTTATCTTTCTGTCTTAATGGGGAATGGGAACTTAAACCAATGTACTACGTCCTACGCTGTGTATTTGTAACTGGCTGATACTCTCTTTCTCTTCTTGTTTACTTATTTCAGGTTGAGTCTCAATTTCCTCTTTGACTATTGAAGAAGAAAAGCACAGGACTTTGTGAAGGGCAAAATACGAAATCATGCGGTGAGATATTTTCATAGTTTATTCATTCATTCATCCAGATATTCAAAATATGAATTGAAATTCCTCGTTGTTGTATGGTTATCTCTATTGCCAGTTTTGATGTTTTGTATAAGAGATTACTTCAGAAAGAAGACATTCTCGAAAACGGAATTATGCCGTGAAGGTCTGGTCGATAACATAGCAGTTACTAGTGAAGGAGTGGATTGGATCACAGATGAGATTTCTCATCCTAGATTATTTGACCTCAGGTATATGAAAATATCACTTCTTTTATTATTATACACAACTCTGAATATTTTAAGAACAATTAGCTTTTCAGTGGTTCCTTACTTACTTACTTACGCCTGTTACTCTTCGTGAAGGAGCATAGGTCGCTCACCAGCATTCTCCATCCAACCCTGGCCTGGGCAATGCTTTCCAGCTCCTTCCAGTTGTTATTCATCTTTTTCATATCTGCTTCTATTTCCCGACGTAATGTGTTGTTTGAACTTCCTGTTTTCCGCTTTTCTTCCGAATTCCAAGTTAGGACTTGCCTCGTGATCCAGTTTGACGATTTGCCTAGTGTATTTCCTATCCACTTCCATAGTCATTTCATTGGTACTGAAAAAGTATTCATGATGGAGTGAGCTAAGAAGTCGTCTCAGTTATCAAATGGATAAAATTGTTGCCTAACATAAGTTCACTTTTAGATAATTAGTCTTCCAGTATGTAGTTTGTTTTTAGGTGGATTAACCAACTAGGTATTTTCTTACACCTTTACTTTATAATCCATCATTTGATATTTAGTAGTTAATCATCCAAGCTTGTGTCAACAATGTATCATCATGGTACCTGTTAATTTAATTAACTATTGTTTTCGGGATATCCAGTAGTGTCTTTACTGGGAATGTTTATGAGCTTTCTGTAGATGTGTAAAACTGTGGATGCCTAAACTGTCACATGTTGTACATATATTCTATATTGCCAAGACAATTGATCATCCATAAATCTATATTAATTATTAACCATCATTTCTAATGCAACGAATCTAATTTTACATTTGAGACTGTTTGATGGTTTAAAGAAGGAAACTATAGCTTGATTGACAACGAGAACAAAGTATTGAACAATGAATTCATAGTATGAATAGACATTAAGAATGAGTACAATTTCATATTTCGTTGTCATGGAATTTATTAAAATTTCTTATTTATGTATTATTAGTTATCTGTATTATTCTATTGAACGATGTAGTTCAGGAAACCATACATCAACAGAACAACTAACATCACCATAACAACAATCATACAAAATTTAGCTTTTATTAGATAATACTAAGGAACTTTTAACTTTTCTATTTCAGTGAAAGTGTCTTAATCAAGGAGGATCAGATAAAAAGTAGGTTTTATTATTTATTGTTCAATAATAAACGTAATAAGAACAATAATAGTGGCTTTATTCAGTACTGGGTTCAACAAAATATTGGACTTTCATCATTTCATATCTTTAAAAGTTCCTCTTACTTTTCTTATAATGTGAAATATATCTGCATACGTATATGAGTGAAATGATCTCTATGTAGATTGCTTGTGAATGATCGCCTTCTAGATATTATAGCAGTGCATTAAAGTAAATCACTGGAAGTTGAAATAGAAGTAACTTTTGGAATGATTTATAGTGTGTAGTTTCAATGTTTGAGAAGTCGATAGTGAACTGATGAAGAGATTTGATTATTTTCAATCTGAGTTATGTATTGTCTAATAAAATATAAAATATATTTATCTTACATGGAGGCTATTGCACTTTGCCACACACATGCCTAATCTTCCTCCTTTATCCGGACTTAGGACCTGTACTAGACACAGGGGGGCTCAAGGTGGATATCAGTCCAGGCTCAAAGAGGGGTAATGTATTCCACAAATAGTCAGAAGCACGAGCAACAAAAAGCACACAACTTAAGCATATATATACAGGATGAAAATGTCCTTGGGAAACGGTACAAAATGGCATATAAAAAGAGATAATAAACCTATGACATTTAAAGTGCTCCGAAGTGAGAAATATGACATGAAGATGAAAATGAGTACTTTTGGTGCGAAAACAAAAGATTAAAAACTTTAAAAAAATAGAATGATCAACAAAAGGCATTCATCAAATGCGTTTTGAGGATCTAACATCCCCAACAATACTGAATATTGTCAGTAAGTACAGTAAGTCGTCCTTAGTGTCAATACGTCTCATCAATATTTGACAGATAATTCTGATTTAGACAATAAAAACACGAAGTTTAGCGAAGTGATCTCTTTTCAACGAATTGCTTATCAAACTTTACAGTTGTTTACATATAAAAGTACTAGTTCCATGAGTACATGTGAACAAGAAATAATGGAGATGATGTAATAGAAGAATTATAACATTGGATTACGTAATAGAAATAGTAACAGTGGTTTTAATAAGTTAGTAACGAATTATAACATAAATGTAGTATGACGATTAAAATGTTTTTGTTACAATAAGGGAAGGTTAATAAAGGTCAAAGTGGTATAAATAATGTATACAATCTAGTAGTATAATGTTTCTATTACATATTGATTTGATGATTAATTGATTTCTTCTATACGTAAGATACATGGACGATGCATTTGTCATTTCTGACGATAATTTTGAATTAGAGGATATCTTACACTCCATCAACACATGCCACCCTTCCATAGACGTCATGTTAGAAAGTTAGCGAGATCAGTCAATCTCTTTTCTCCATGTACATATCATCAGTATTTACACTAAAGTAAAAGTGCAAGTGGTCTTATGCAAAACGTTTAACTGGAAACTAACTTGATTCGGCAAATGCTGATGTTAATTATGAATTTCTATTGTACCTGATTCGAGGCTTTACAAGCTAACTACGTAAACGACGTTGACAGTACTTCTCACATCCTTGAACACTCATGTAGCATGCCAGTTATTTGGTGATGAGACCATAATTTGTGAACGATCTTTGAACGATACTAGAGTGACATTGAATGTCTGCCTAATAACTGGTACCAAATGAGGGTTATCCGTGACCTATTGTCTCATACCTGATTGATTCTTCCATAAATTATAGTCTCACCGAAATTTTCAGTTTGTATTGTGTGTAATAATAATGATAATAAGGTGAAATATTTAACTTTAATGTTTTTATTCTAGATGTAGATCGGATCGGTATTTCTCATGAGACACTTAGGCGTCGTGCTTTGAATTACGTTCATGAAGCACGATACACTTTGAACAATTTACGCAACATTTTTACCCAATTAAAAAAAGTTAATCAAAAGGAATTGGACACTGAAACAACTTCATCGATACAAACATCATTAATTCACTATCAACAGGATATGGAGGAAACTATTTCACACTTGCAAACTATACTTAACAAACTAGGTGAATTAGATGAATTTTCACAAATCAGAGCGAATGGCTTAAATAAGCTTTCACAGCGATTACAGGAGAAAATTCAAAAACAACAGGTTAGAATTTATTATTACTTTATCACTTTGAAATAAGTCAAGTTCTTGAACTTGTAAAAGAAGTAAGGAGGAAAATATATATGAAGGGTGTGATATCTATCTGTCTATCTATGCTGGTGTGTGAACCAACAGCAACCATTGTGCACTGTTGTGTTGTGTGCTACTGGTGCTGACAGAAACAAGTAGTATGTATCATGGGTCGAAAGTGAAATGCCTGGTGGAAGAAGGCTGAGGAGATATGAAAAAAACAGGGCGAGAATAGAAAGTGATTGGTGTGAAAGCAAAGAAACAATGAATTTTGAGACGATTGATTGAAATTTTGTAAATGACGAATCTGCTGTATGGTTCCCAAATTTGATTGATTGATTCCCATTTGTGTTCTCGTTCACTACACTGTCACCCATACGACAATCTGTCGATTGCAAACTAAAACACAAATACTTTAAATTTTCTAATTTCGTTGGATATTTTGTATCAGTAAGGTATGATATCAAGCAGTTGATTACATCATCACCAGCACAGTTCGCAGGTTTCAACTCATATTCAAAAGGTTATCAGATACGATCAAGGGAACTTACAAACACAGGTTCAGAATGTTTTGTATCTGAATCAAATTATTGACAATCATCACCATCCTTCAGATCATTATAGTGAGTAAGTAATACAGTTGTTAGGAGACGAGTACTAGGTAAGGACGGCAAAGAAATCTGGAGGCGGCCAGACCAAAACCTGTCACAAATCCATGAAGTCGCTGACAAGTGGACTGAATCATGTTGGTAGGTGTAAACTGCCTGGTCGGATCCGCGAGACGATAGCAATCGAACGTTAGAGACCTTGAATGATACGGCTCAAAACCGTTTTCAATGGTGTACGCAGGAGCATTCACTCCTTGTATTTTTCTGAATTTTAATCTCCTGGATTCTCCTTGTCTCTTTTTTCTCTCCAAATTTAATTCACTAGATTATACTCTTCGAATAACATTTTCAAACCCTAATGTTTCCGATAACTTCTTATACTCTTGCTATCTCTACCACTATGCGATTTGAATTGACAGTTCAATCAATGTTCTAATGTGGTATGACAACTTGAACTGATGTGTATACATACGAAGTTTGACATTGTTGTTGACTGATTGAGTACCTTTAGATCATTTTAATATTTGTATCTATGAAATTGTTGTTAATCAATTTTACAATGTGTTTGATTCTTATTAATAAATCAAAATTTGGATTTTACCTTGTGATCATATACATATAGAATCCGTCAGATTGTAAAAAGGCCAAATATGTAACATTAGACTTCACTAATATATGTGGATTGGGTTGTCGCATTCATCAACTCATGTACTGCTTACAATTGGCTCTTGAAAATGAGCGTGTTTTTGTATTAAAGAAACATCATTCTGGAGACCCATTTCGAGAATGGCTTCATCAGAGCATGTTACCACTTTCTGACAAATGCAGTTATTTGGACTCAGATAATAGATCAGGTGTGTAGACGTTATATTTATCATTAGTTTGTTGTAAATGTCAGACCCCAGTGATTGTCTTGAACTGTTTACTTAAATATTTTTATTTACTTTTCGACAAAACAACACGATACAATAAATCATTGACTAGACCCCATCAAATAACATAACGCTGTTTACTATCTACGTGAAAGAGCGGGTAAACAAACCTTATTATTGGTAATATTTCATGTTCCATTGCTCCTCCTAATATGGATAAAATCATATTCAATCACTTTTTACGACTGAGTAAGCTTTCGCCTCACAAATCAGCTATAATGTTTGGTTGGTAGGCAGTCAATCTACAAACTACAACTTATCAAGCTTAATAAATATTTCCATTCCCTTGTTTACTTCAGATAACATCGAATGTCCTTATATTCAAAATGCTTTCACCAATCATAAATGGTTGCCAGATGTTCTCCCGAATGATATGAGTGAAGAATTATTGCGTTTACATGAGGCACCCTTTGTTTGGTTTGGTGGTCAACTAGCAGCCTACATTATGCGTCTAAAGCCACAACTTGCACAATTAATCAATGTAACCTTGAAGAGCTTTGAAATCATTGGTGATCCTGTTGTTGGGGTGCATATCAGGCGTACCGATAAGGTTGGTGTTTGTTCATATACGTTGTCAGAATATATTATGATGCACTTAATTGTTCGGAATTTAAACAGTGAATGTTGAGAATGAAAGACACGTTTTCAGTTTTGTCTTTGGATTAAACTACTTTTGAAAACTGGGATGGTCATTCAGAAATCATTATCATCCTGCTCAACAGAATACTGGTTGATAGATTTGGTTGATTTCCATGTACCTGCTGATTGAATAAATTTTCAGGCTTTTTAAACTTCCCTGAGATTTTTGTGCTTCTTCTGTCGAAGTTCGGACATTTCCCCAATTTGATTTACGCTAAAAATTATCCACAAGCATTTATATAAGCACATCTACGTCAAGGCGAATAACGGCTAACCAACGCCCATACAGGAATGGACTGAAAGTGTGACGGTTTTTCACTGTGTCGTATTTGTCGCAGTTTCTCTTGTGTTTTATGTTTTCCTTGTATTTATTTGTCATTGTAGCTGTGGGTGTTTACAATAAATATTGTACCGGCTTATGGGCTGTACTTACTTCTTATAGTCTTACAAAGCTATTCGTGATCTTGCGAATGTTATTCGGATGGAGTAAAATTTCACCCTTTGCTGAAGTTTGGTACTGATTTTGTATGTGACATTAATAAAATAACCCATTACTCTATATACGAATGTATAGCTTAAGTAAATCATTTCGTCAAAAAAAAACTTTTCTTCATCGAATTCTATTTTTTTTATTCGACGTAACCTTTAACAGACATACCTTGTTGATATTTTGTATCAAACCATTTTTCCAAGATGCATCCGGATTCTTTTCCCTGTGATGCTTTAATGTCTTTACTGTTTTAGATAATTTTTGTAAATATCATGTTTTTGCGTCAGTACGTTGTCGCTGCTATAAGTGAGTATTCAACTAGTGTGGTCTATCTTTCCGCATACTCAGTTTCAAGTTACTTGTATCGGTTGAATCTCAATTGTTTTCAATGATCTTTGTCAAATAAATTTGAAGTTAAACGAAATTCATATGAGAGAATAGTGTATCAAGGGTCAGTTTGCCAGCTGACTTTACTATAGAAATTGAGTAGCAATATCAAGTTTAAAGGTTTTGGTGTAAATACTTCATAAAGAATAAAGTTTATGAAAATGTAAGGGGGTTCAGTTTGGAGCATCTTGTCATTGACAAATATAGTGTAATATTTTCGGAATTGAATATTCTAATAATCACATCTTGCACTTGTACTCTTTTTTATAGTTAGTATTGGAGGCTAAGTTTCATGACTTATCCGAGTACATGGAACACGTGGATAATTTCTTTGATTTACAAAGTGTTAATCTCTTGACTATGTCAAAGAGACATGTAAGTCAATAAGATTATCTCAGTTGTATTTAATCAATAAATGAAACTTCGTTAATTAATTGATCACATTTCAATTCATGATTAATCACAGTGAGTGTGTTATCCATTATGATGTGTACTTAATCAAATGTAAATTGAATTAAGATGTATTCTGTTCAAGTGAGTTTTTTGAGTTATAGTTCTTCATTAGTATGTAGTATAGTAGTAGGTAAATGATAGTTGATCAGCTTAACTATGGATCTCAGTGTTTTCCCTAATGATAAGAATACATAATTCGTAAAATGGATGCACGTATAATTAGATGATTCAATGACTTAAACAGATTAGGTAAGAAGTGAATGATAAAATTGAAATTGAGTGCAACTGGAAGGATTAAAATTACATGCTGTTGTGGATGCGGAGGAATAGACCAATAATTATCATTTTTAGTCCAATGGTGTCCTTGGACTTTAAATGGACATTTCCTATTGGTCGATATCTGTTCACTTGTTGAATATTGTACAAAATGTTGTTTTCTATTATATGGTACGATGTGGTATGCTTGATTGGTATATAAACAAAGTATGTTTAAAATATAATGATTCATATCTCAGAGGTTGTGACTTGTGTTCTGGACTCAACTGACTGGGCTAGACAGGGAAGCGAGACCAATCGAGAATCTAGGCTGTCCGTCCGTGTTTACGTGTCACTGTAATCGATCGATAAGTACGCTGCTCTCTAATTTTCCAGTCAAGGACACAACAATTAGCACAGGGTAAAAATTGACAGCAACCTAAATTCATAACACATGCATTTTCAAGTAGAAAGTCAAAGTAATTGAGTACAATTTATGTGCATAAAAAATGAACTTACTGATATGCATGGCCATACTTTTCATGATATGAAAGGAACAGATTTTTGAGGCACAGAACATGTGCGATGGTATTCTATGGACAAGTTTGTAAACCACAAGAACATGAACTGTAATGTAATATAGCGTTTCATGGACGAAATTTAATGATTTTTGACAGTTAGAAACAATAGTGAATCTCTTGGACCTAGGATCATCAAAGCCTCCTTCAAAACAAAGAAAGAGAGCATTACAATAAATGCCATTCATTGCTATGCGCCTACGAACGACTACAATGAATACGTTAAAGATCAATTCTACAATAGGCTACAGTCAATCGTTGAAAAATGCCCAAAAACGGACTTGACCGTTTTGGTGGAAGACCTAAATGCCAAAGTTGTAATGAATAATACCGGATATGAGGACATTATGGGACGACATGGACTAGGAGAAAGGAACAAAATTAATGAGAGATTTGCAAGTCTATATACCTTCAACAAACTTATCATAGGTGTCAATATATACCCACATAAACGTAAATATGTGGAAGGTCTAGCAACGACGACGGAGAAGGGTGCAAATGAGGGATTTGATGCAACAAAGAAGCTCTCTGAATACCAAAGAAAGGAGACCTCAGTAAGTGTGACAATTACAGAGGCATCATTCTTCTCTCAATATCAAGAGAAGTCTTCAATAGGGTGTCGGTAAACAGAATGAAGGTTTCCGTAGACGCTCAACTTCCAGATCAACAGGCTGGATTCTATAAGGATCTATCGTGAAGCAACCAAATCACAACACCACGGATGATTGTGGAACAATCAATTGAATGGAATTCATCACTCTACATCATCTTCATTGAATACGAGGAAGCATTTGATAGAGTGGACAAGACAACACTATAGAGGCTTCATCGACGCTGTGACGTTCCTGATAAGGTAGTCGACATCATAAGGAATTTATATGATGGATTAAACTACGGAATCGTTCATGGTGTTGTTCACTTTTATTTCCCCATTGTAATCTAAGACTGCAAGTGATTAGTCTCTTGTTGCCATATGCGCATCGTGTGCGGACTGCATCGATATTATCTTAGGTCACAAGCTTGCAGGTACATCCAGCTGACTAGTCCCAAATAGGACGAAACGCGCATCCTGGATTCCACTGCTAGCCAAATATGTAACCACTGTTATAAGTCAGTCTTCATGTCATATGATTTCCGTGATTTTAAAACGTTATAATGAAGATGTAATAAGATATTGCTTTAGCAAATCAATCAGATCAAATGCACTTTGTCGATGAATTAACCTACTAGTATCAAAACCTTCAGTCATTCATTCCATTTGAATATGTGTACCTCTGCAAATTGTTAACTAATCTACTGAACATCCCAGTAGGTTTACTGTAGACGAATGCATTATGCTGTGCTAAATTGCCCAGCTAATCAGTACAAAGTTGCACTATATAAAAGTTAAACGGTATTCTAAGCAAGATGAGCATGATAATGTCAACTGGTTAGTTGTCTGCATGTTTTGATAATGAGGTTTTATAAATATCAAAACTGCTACATTCAGTTAATCTGACTCATTGAGAAATGTAATTCTGGCACTTATGCTCATTTATTGTAGTATGAAGGAAGCATGGAAAGTTTTGTCGGGAAGCACTGACATTATCCTGAAAGCTTTTCAGAATATTAACATACAATGACTCAACGTTATGATATCGGTTCTATGAGAAACAGTAGTGACTTAGTGCTAAATATTAATTAAAGATTATTTGAGAACAATTTGTTAGTAAACATGTAAAGCGAAATGCTGTGGAATATTTGCTTGTTATTGTAGATTTGAGGCTGTGAAGTTTTATTGTTTACATTACAGCTCAATCTCAGGTTGATGGTCATTAAAAGTGTGTGAGCAGTGGGCATGTTTGGTTCAGCAATCGATCTTGGCTCACTTGTCTAAAGGTTGGACTTTATTTGTGGTGCTGAGATTTACTGAGTTTATTCTATAAGGGGGTCATTGATATAGACCCTCAATAAAACGAGATAGCTGTCCTATACACCCTAGTTTTCCACTCCTGTCTAATTGAGTCTAGCTCAATGCAAACTATGGACTACGAAGAACTCACATTTTTTTGTTTTTAAGAGTTCGGTTTGAATGAGTAGGAATTATGTGTCATGAGAACAAGAAATGTTTTCAATGTTCTATTATATATAATTGTATCAATTCGTATTCAGACCGACTACTTTATTATTATTATTATTATTATTATACGGAATGAATCTAATTTGTGATTTTCAAAACTGTTAGGACATGAATGTGGAGACATTTGGATCAGTTTCTAAAAGAATCATTGGAAGAGAAAATCCTGTTCAGGCTAAGCAAAGTATTTACTTGTCGACAGATGATCCGAATGTTTCTACTCAACTGACCTACAGTTATCCAAACTACACTGTTTATGGTAGTCAAAGTAGATCGCAGTCAGCTAATATGAGTACGCGGATGTCAGTTAGTTCATTGAATAATGCAATCATTGACATCATTGCACTTTCAATGACGGATTTCCTTGTGTGTACATTTTCATCGAATGTAAGTAATATATATATGTTGACTTGTATTGACGACAATATTACACGTTGTCTCTTTTGACTGGAATTTTAAGTAAACAAACAAGTTTGAATACAGAATTCACAATGATTTTTACAGAAGTGAAGTTGTTATTACCACAAGATTGAATGGAAATCGTTGATTAGTAATGACCGAGAAATATAGTGGTCTTTTATCATTCAGTTCTATGGTGACTTATTCCGCTAAAATCATTTGATCGGAAATCATAGAATTAGAAAGCAATCAATATTAGATTCAAAATAATGTAAAATAAAGCGTTTAGTAGTCTGTCTACTTCAAATATTATCAGCAGAACATTTAGATTGTGTTCATTAAAATATAATTGTGAATTTTCTCTTGTCAAATGCCGTACTATTTATTCCGAATTAGTTACTATGACGAATCTATAGTTACAAGTTGAAGTAGTGTTAGATCCCGATAAACATAATGAATGGCAACATTGGGATCCTTTTTATGGACCAATACTAAACGTATATTTTTATAGTATAATTGGTAAATAACTAAACTATTCATATTCATATCCCCTTATTATAAACTTTATTTTGACCCATAAATTGTTATTTTACGTTTCACAATTATTGAATTATACCCTGTCTGTTAATCACTACCTCCCCCATTCACATGCACATTTGACCAAACTTTGTACAAATGTTATATTCTATTTTATGCTACTTTGTCGTCTGTTTGATTCGTATATAAACTCATTATGTTTGAAATATAAGGATTCATATTGCAGAGGCTGAGACTGGTGTTCTGAACTTAACTGGCTGAGCTAGGCGGAAAGCAGGACCGACCAGGACTCTAGGCTGCTCGCACGTGTTTAACGCATCCTTGGTCCGATCGGTAATTCGCTGCTTCTGATTGGCGGCTTTGGGCTATAACAAGAAGAGAGCGAATAATGTTTTGAGCATTCCTGTATCAGTTCCTGCCTGTGATTGTTGTTCCCGACAGAGAATGAAATAACTACATCGCCATTTTTGAAAAGTTTATTCGATAAGCGATGCGTAGCAGTTGACATATATATATATATATATATATATATATATATATATATATATATATATATATATATATGGAGATTTCTGTTTCAATGTGTTTCACATGTCGTGGAAAACTGTTTTTAACGTGTTACCTCTGGAAGCTAGTCACTAGTGGGCACCGATGGTGCTGGCCTTGAATCCCGCGTGCAGAGTCTCGGGTGCTCAATGCCAATGATTCCCACACTAGCACGATACAGCTGTCCAGTGCTGCCGGGTTTTAATGGCTGTCTAACTTAGATCCGTTCATTATTTTAATGAGACTCAACGATCTCCACCACCTCAAACTGAATGTATTTACTTTAGAGTCTACAGTTTTATAAAATTTTATTCAAAATCTTGATCCATGAAAACACAGTGGTTGCGATTCATCCACAAAATTTGATGAAATATTCAGATAATCTCAGTGAATATCCTCATATTTCATATATAATCTTATTGTTATTTTTCTTAGATCTGTCGTTTAGCCTATGAGTTAATGCAAACACGTCATGTGGATTTGGGTGATGCAACACAATTAATTCATTCAATCGATATGTTATTCCATGAAGAGGATTACAGAAGAATGAAATTTGATGTGATCATTCCAGATATGAAGGTAAAGTTGAAGTATGGTGATGTAGTGGAAATTTCCCAAACTTACTGGAACGGTTCAGCGTTAGTCAAAATAGAGCAAAACAAATTCGTTGCACCTGCTTACAAGTTTAGACCGAAAATAAACATGACTGGATTCAACTAACGAAGTGAGATTGTTTCAACAGACTACATGTCAACTTTGATTCAGTTTTACACTGCCATTTTTATTCAGCTTAGGTTTTGGTGTCTAACATTATCCTGCTCAATATTTTATGCACAGCTAATAACTTATATTCACATTCTTATAAATCTGTCGACTTTCACTGATGTATTTTTTAGTTAATTCTTTACTGAAATTGTACGGTACTACCGAATAGACGTGACTCATGAAACAACATTGACAAATTAAAGTCGGTTATTGACAAAACGAAAATATTCGTTCTAAAATTATGATTGTTTATGCGAAGGAAAAGGATTTGGAACAAGTTCACAGTTCTTACATGTATGTTAATTCAGTCGAAGAGTCGAAACACATGAGTGAGTTATGCCTGGAAATGAGCGAATGTTGAAGAAATGCACGAAAACCAAAATCGATTGTTTTGAGCGTTAAGAGAATGTAATTACAACGACCCTGGTTAACCTTAGAAAGCTGCTACATCTTTCAGATGATGCTAAAAGTCACTCTCGATTTTACGATGAATCTATTTTCCGAAGGTATCATCGAGTCGCCAATCAGTCATTAGTGTGGTGCAGTGTGAGTGAAATTGAATTAAGAAATTTGTCTGCATATTTGTAAACAAGAGACGGAAGACAAATGAATGTATAGAAAGTGACGAATTGACTAATTGTTGTGATAAGCTTCGGATATCTCTCATCTTAGATGATCTTGATTATTGTGTCCAGTTGATTTTTGACATTCCACATCCCGCAAAAATACTACACGAAACATTCATATAATATATTTTGACTGAAGTAAAGTGAGCACGTACGATTTGACAGACTACCGACTACTCTCAGATGGTGTAAGTTCAAGTACTACATCGGCTACACGTGTTAAAGAAACAACAGCTCGACTGGATTACTTTCATTGCTCAACATATAATCACTTACAAAGATAAATCGATTGAAACTGTACGAAGTTAATTTTCACGGGTGACTTGATTAGTTTAAGTGACTTAAATATCTACTTAGATGAATAGCTGAAATGAAATAAACCTTAACGTTTGCCGTGAATACCAGACACATTAGTGATAATAATGCATAATTCAAAACTCATAGATGAAAATCCAAAATGTATCTCGATTGGGGATTTGTAGAACTATGGTCTACTATGATATTAGTACTGCTCTAACAATAGATTTAATCCTAAAATTGTACTTTTGCCATGATATAACTGCCTAATTTATAAGATCTTACGGGGACATCACATCATCGTTTACACCAATTCACTGAATCGTAACAATTACCAATGCATGAAGTAGAACAGGCTTAGACTAAAGACAGAACAATATATTCAATATGAATAAAAGATATAAGATAGCATTCAACAAGGACCACGCCTGCAAAGTCGAGCCATGTCATTCGATCAACTTGAATTAATTCCATTTATTATTCCCTCCTCCTTCATCGTTGGTTTTTTCTCCGTGTTTAACGTTGAATGTCTATTTCCCACATTCTCTCGTATTAGGGCCCAATGCCACTACAGATTGAGTTATTGGATGATATATTGTACATAAAATTCCAATAGACACTTGTATTGAACTGATATGTTCATAAATAAATAATATATTTGTAATATCCCAATGAGTAGAAAATCAGATTTTCTGACGTTCCGTGACTTAGTGTAAGTCACTTCTTCAGAGAGTAAACAATCAACTCAATGCTCAATTTATTCGAAATGATCTTTTCATATTTCATGTATGGGTATGTGAGCAGACTCAACAATGTGTTCGAAAGCTAATATATATTTTGGTTTTAATAGCTGGACTGGCTTGAAACGACGTCATTTTGTGCCTTTAATATAAAGTAGTTCATCGGAGCTGATGGGAATGATAGATACACAGTATAGTGGTTCAACTGGCTCCTCCCATTGTTTGATGATTGACACTCATCCCCATACAACTATCTTCCTAGATCTCTGTCCTTTATATAGTCTCTATAAATTCATTTTGAACAGCTTTGGAATAAACACGAGCATCAGATTAGTCTGTTATCACCATTTAAAATGTGTAAGTAAGACACCGTGACTGATCATTATGAGTTAAGCTTCCTAACTGTCTGTGCATATCTTATCTCAATACGTATCCGTTAGTGATTTCTGCTTTCTGATGGACAGATAACAGAACTCAATGTTCCTTTTCTTAAGACAAATTTATGTCGTTTGTCCCGTAATTGTAGAATGATTTCTTCACAACTACCAAATCACGATGTTAAATTACTGCGTATGTATGCTAAATAATAACCCGTAAAAGCGTTAACGAGTTTTTCCTGATGATAACTGCAAGTTATCAAACGTTGAACGTGACGTCAGTTTGAAAAAGAATGTGATCATGCTTCCGTGATCAGTAGTATGTCGCGCTCCTGATCGACTAAAATCATGTGCAATAATATCTCTATATACCGCGATTTGTCTAAAATTGTCGTTAATTTTCACGTGTTAAACGTTTAACTGCCTCGAACAACTCTCATCATTACTGTTTAAAATAGTAGTGTTTCTTGTAATTAACTTATTTAGCATACTTCGTTGTGACAATTGTGTATTTTCCAACTACCGTGATCTGCATAACCTTGTACTTTCGACGCGTTAATGGGCCAGAAGATATATTGGCAGATGAGAAAGTGACGCACAATAGATCCAAGTGATCTAAATCTAGCTTTTCAGGTGGCAACACTAAGAAAAATTTATTTAGGGAACATGCGTCACCTAACTACGATAATACAACCACAGCTGATCAACATGTCAACCACGAAACTGGGATTCCATTCTCCAAATTTTTGAATATTATACATGATGTGGAAAAAAGCTTAAATGAATAAGTAGGGCACTTTGGTGACAACCTCTCAGAAGACTGAGATATTAACGGAATCACTAATAAAATAGGTACTGATGCCACCCTACAAATGTATGTAGGAAATAATCATAACAGGTTAGATAGTGACGATCACCCCATTGTAGCGGTAAATCAACTCCAAAATAAATAGTTCTGTAAGCACTCAATAGTGATACTGACCGTAGTTCTATTGAACACACCCTAGCCTAAGGCGCTTGATCAATTATTCACACAAATTCACGAGTAAGTAGGCCAAGCTGCGCATTCCCCATCTGTGATCGAACGCTTCTCAACATATCGATCACCTTTCTAAATATATCTCCAAATTCACTCATTCCTAACTTCTAACTTAACTGGATCGATATTTCTTGATTGTAAAGGTGTTACGACTAACGGTGTTGTCAAACTCTGAATACCTGTGGCACCTTTACTAGTTGGAAGGCCACGAAGAGACACGAAACACGAGTAACAATAAGGAAACATGGAGCTTTGATGCTATCAAGCAATGAATCGTGTTAGGGATGCAGAGGAATATACCAATAATTATCATGTTAAGTCTAATGGTATCCTTGGACTTTAAATGGACATTCCCTATTGGCCAATATTTGTTTCACTTGTTAAATATTGTACAAATGTTGTTTTTTATTATATGGTACGATGTGGCCTGGTTGATTGGTATATAAATAGAGTATGTCTGAAATATAGTGATTCATATCTCAGAGGCTGTGACTTGTGTTCTGGACTCAACTGACTGGGCTAGACATGGAAGCAGGACTAATCAGGACTCTAGGCCGTTCGTGAGTGTTTTACGAGTCACTGATTCGATCTATAATACACTGCTCTCTAAACTTTTCAGTCAAGGACACAACAATTGGCACGGGGTAAAAATCGACTCAACTTCAAGTCATAACAAATCAAAACTCTTCATCGCTTTGCATCCTGTGCAAATGCTTATGCACCACCCAACAGCATGAACCCACAACGCAACATATCTGAGTACAATCAACCAAATACATCGGATAGCACGACATAAACGAATCTAGTAAGAAATATAGGGAACAGGAACTGGATTCGTGACACTTATAAAGTGTACAACGAAATACTTTCGTTCTTATCACAGTAAACAGGTAGATGCTCATCTAGACTTTTCATCGTGCTATGTTTTTTAGGTAACGATGGTCTGTTCACGCTCTACAAATAACAGAATGACAACAGAAGACGATCGCCCAAGTTGCTAAGCACATTTACTATACTAGATGTAGAACCAGGTATAAATGATTACACACTGCACCCAGAAAAGTATGTGGTATTAATAATAATTTATTTTCAGATAATAGCCTGTTATGTGGCGCATGCCAGTTTACAGGCAAGATCAAATTGCTGCACAAGATATAGTATTTACTGAAGTGGGTTACTCAGTTAGGTAAATATGTCATATGGTTCGTTGTTTATTGTACTACGGGGAAAACACTTCTCGCATATGAATCCAAGTAATATTATTAATGGTCGTATTGTGAACATGAGAATCAGCGCGCTTTATGAAGGTCGCGTAGAGACGTGTAACTGATTGTCGATATTAAATCTACGTAATGCTGAGAGCTTCTATTAACCGTGACCTTATATCCTTCTAAAACATCTAAAGCATTAATGATGGCGCAGGGCAAAGTCGCGCTTTCCACAGGTGTTTTCGGTGTTTTATTTTAAGACGGCTGAAAACGTGAGCAATAAAAAGAAAGGACGAGAAATAAATGAAATAATTTTCATGATTACTGAGTTATATTAATTTCGGCAGGAATAGTTATGGTATGAATTCATGGTCTAATTCTCTTTTCTCAAGATACTTTTTAGGCAGGAGAATTCTCATTACTTACTTACGCCCGTTAATCTCCATGGAGCATAGGCCGCCCACCTGCATTCTCCAACTCACTCTGTCTTGGGCCTTCTTTTTTAGTTGGTAACACAAACGCTTGTCTCTAAGTCACAAAGTGGTTTCCTAACGGGTAGGTTGTGCATGATCTGACACTTTTAGCTTAAGAACCACAGCGCATTGCCACGAACCATAAAAGATAGCTTAGATCCCTTATTCAGATAAATTCCGGCCATTTGACAAAATACCACACTACCTATGATTTGGAGATCTATATTCTTTTAGAATTCACTACCACTTACTAAGTAGGCCTAAATCGTTCTTGGATAATCGGTATCAAAGTATCAAGGTTAACTTGAAAACATCAGCACCCTAAGAGAGTAACTAATGGGGTTACACCTGGGAATGAGCTAGAGGCAACATGCATCCGCTGAATTTGTAGCTGCTACTGCGGAGTCATGGCCTAGATAAAAAGGGATTCTGTATGCCAAATGAAGAGAGTTTTAAAAGAAGAAG